TGGGAACAGGCTAGGACCATTTTAAAATTTCTTGGAATTGATAAGGGACCATCTTTTGAAGAGAAATTTCTTGGAATTGATAAGGGACCATCTTTTGAAGATCAATAAACAGGAAAAATATTGGAAGATTCCTGTGTACTAAAGTTTTAGGGTAAACATATTTTTATCAACATGTTTGAGTAGTAGTTTAAGCCTACTTTGTAAGTATTGTGACCTATTTTAAAATGTAAAAACAAAATAAATTTGACTTTCCTGAATGGATGAGACAAAGTGGTTAATTGGATCTTCCATGTTTCCAACCCCTTTTACCTTGATAGTAAACAATTTCATGTCTTTTGCTAAATTATACATCTTTCTATAGTGTATAAATATGATTGTACTATCTTCAATTTTGGTTCATTTTTTTATCCCCCAAACTTGTCTTTTAAGGCAAAGAATACTGCTACCATCATGCATTTATATTTAAATAACCTTGTAATGTTGACAGAAAAAATACATTGAATTTAAAATGGAAAATGTACACACCAAAAATAACTGCAGCTACCAATGTCTCTAGGCCTTTGAATAAAAACTACATTATTAAAACTATCCTCAACTCCCATGTGAAGTGTTGCATTTTCATTTAATGCTGAAAAAGAAGCATTGCAAGTGATTTTTTAGTGCAGAAGCTGTTTATCTTATTCACTATTATCAACTTCAATTAGAGGGTGATTTTCTAACTTTCTACTAATTTAACCTCTCTGTTAAATACAAAGAGAAAGGAATATTAATTAATATATAAAGCTGATAGTCCTGGCAGCTAGTAACTTCACCTTTTTAACAAAGCATCCAAAAGTTAGGTCCCATCTCTGAAAATATACATGATTCCACTTCTGATTTATTCATTTAAAATATAAATAAATACTTAAAATAAAGTTTGATGATTAAGCCATGAGGATCTTAAATTTCTTGTTTATCTCCCTCAATGGTGATTAAGGGATCCATCTTGTATTAGAGAAAGGGAAATATAACAATCAGGTTGATTTTCACATTTCATCAATAATGCAGTTGATAAGAGTATTATTCATATTTCAATTTCATCTAGATAAGACAATATTAGGTGAATTCAGAATAGATTATGATGCAGACATTGTATAAAAATTAATTATCTTAGTCCTTCTAGTTACATTTAGCATCATATTAATTGTATATGATGTTATTTCTTATGTGGTTTTAAGTCAAATTAGTATTATAAATTTCAAAAAGTAACATCTTTCAACATCCAATAGCTGGGGAAATCACATGCACATAATGATATCAAAGCTAATGATACTACACAGCTTTGCAAATAAAGATAAAGCATATAATAAAATAAAACATTGGAATGTGGCATGTTAATAAAATGGTGTAATCAAATTGAAGATTTTGAAAGTAGTTGGCATCATTTCTAACCTTACAAAACAGAATAAATAGACATTTCATAAATATGGACCACAAGGTAGCCAACCCAGGCCCATTGACACCTTGACCACATGCCACAACTACATTGTTCCTATGCAGCTCTGAACTGCTCAATTAGCTGTCTCAACATCTACTTTGTTTCTTTACTCATTACCCTTTTCAAATTTCAACACCACTAAGGGAAAATGTTTCAACCTTTACAAACTTAAAAAAAAAAAAGTATATTGTGTATACCCATTTGTTCATTTTTATCAATCTTTTTTTATACCTGGACAAAACACCTCTAATTTATATATATACATTACACTGAATACCTTTGCAAGAATTTGAATGTAATATTTTAAATACAAGGTGTGGATTAAGCTAAACATTAGGGGGTGCCGGTGTAATTTACACTCTGAATTATAAGATCATATGGTGATAATGTTGTTTCAGGTTCACAAATATCCTGATATTGACTTCCAAAGAATGATATCCACAAAATGATCCTAATGCAACCCAATACTCAAGCTTTCAATACATATGGAAGGGAGAAAAAATATCTTCAAGAGTGCTTATATTAGATGAATAATTTGCATTGATATTTCAAAATATTCTTTATATTATATGTCACTTAATGCTTCTTTGTACAATTTCACTGCATAAATAACAGAATCTTCCTACCAAAAAATAGAACATCAATCTTCAACTTTTAACTACCAAACCTGTAAAGCTAAAATAGACCATGGCTACATTTAATTCTGTCAACATAAACCTAAGGTACATGAGCAATGTTGAGTAACTCCTCATGAACATTCCTTAGGTATCTTGTAATTTGTCAATTTTCATTAATTGTAAACCTACAACATAGCTAAATCCATTAGACATTCAGGCAATAACATGATACTGATCACATAAACAGATATTGCATAGTTCTTCAATAGAGTTCTGACCAATCTGATAGAGCTAATAACATCATAGATACTGTTATTGTTTAATGAGCCAACTTGGTAGGACTATTAACTTCTACAGACCTTAAATGTTTTGTTTGGGAAATTGACAACCTCAAGAGCCGTATATATTAGAAATCATAGAGTAAGAAGAGAATATGAAGAACTAACTCATTCTCATTTATTAGAAATAAAGCCTACAATGGCTTATTTATACAAGAGAATTGACTTGTGATCCAAGCAAAAGTGGATGATGCAAAGTTAACAAACTATCTTTAACTCCTAACCACTAACCACCTAATCATCTTCTACAAAAAAAACTCTAAAATATCTTTAATAGCCCCCCTCAAGCTGGTGAGTGAAAGTTTTTCTTAACTACCAGCTTGGAATCTTGATTTGAAGCAATAACAACGCTTAACTATTCATGACAGAAGCTATATCATCAAATGCTTAACCATCTATGCAGAAACCATCTATACACGATATGTCTATCCTTAGATTCTTCATTGCATTTGGCTATTGCTTCAGCAACTTCAGTGATGTTCCAGGGGTTGACCAGATGTGTGCCAACACCAAGAAATTGAGCAACACCAACAAATTCACTAAGAATGAGAACCCTTCCTTCTTATTTTGACATGCCACAAATTCATAACTGACAAGATTGATGTCATCCCTCAAGGATGTGAAAGAAGGAAAGAAGGGTAATTGATAAAAGATAAGGAAAGAAGGGCAAGAAAGTTGATGAATGTACAAGAAGGGCAAGAAAGTTGATGAATGCTATATCAAAACTAAAGCATTAGAGTCATCCAGTCCATAACACAAAGTAACAGATGCACCAACATGGCAACCCAATGAAGCTGCCACCAAGAATCTCATACAAATATTCCAACTTCCAAGAATGGTGTTGCTGCTCTTGCTGGTTGGGATGAGGAGGCTTTGTTATTGACTAGTCTTGTATGTGGATATTTTGCCTTCCTTGGGTGCACCAACTCAAGTTTAATCGAAAAGAAGCAAACATCATCACTGCTACAACAATTTTCATTACGTAGACCATGACTCCTCAACACCTATCATGCTTCTTGTTCTTGCCAACATGTTGATGGATCATTGGGTACAAAACCACCCAAAAATGGACTTAAATTTTCTAAAGCTATGGCAGTAAATCTGCCATTTATATTCCTTCTAATAGCAAATCCAAGCCCATGAAAGCCAACATCACATCTTATATTGTCTTCTGAATTATACTCCTCTATTGCTTTGACACCTTTCAAAGTATTGCAAACAAAAAAACAGCCATGCAAGATCAGCTAGCCCAAATTGTGGCTTCAAATAAGCAACATGTGAATGATTCTTTGTTGAATCTTGAAAGAAGAAAGGATATGCGGAAGCCATAGAAGAAATAATTATTTGCTCTGATACCATGTTAAAATGGTAGGAGCCATGCAAAAAGCTTTCTTGATTAACAAGAAAAATGAGAAAAGACATGCATGAATGAGAAAGAAAGTTTTAAAGAAAACTACAGAAATAATGGAGAATCAAGAAAATTATGCAAACTATAATTACAATCTAATTTCTCCATTTGTACCGTACACACTGGATTCAGAGATAAGAAAATGCAAGAAAGTGTGTCCAAGATTATCTCTCATTTGAGATTGTTATAGAGTTAACTTTAAATATTATATAATGATAACCAAGCACATTATTCATTAAAACAATTAGGCCATGTTTTGCAACAACTAAAAGGCCGTTAAAGGTAGATATACTCTATTCTATAATCCATATTTTATATTGGCATGTGCTTTATTGCTTAGTACTTCTTCAGTGTGGGACTTATCACAGAGAAGAGAAATAAATAAATCTAATAGTCTAAATGAACTAAGGAGTAATTTGTGCAGTTCAACCTTGAAATTTTGCCTTCAGCTTATAAAGCCATGAATCCAAAACTCTTCTGTTCATCTTTTGGAAAAATCGAAGAAACAAAAGGCACATTAATTTCAGTATACAATTTAAACACAATTCTCTCAGTCGGTTTGGTATACAATTAAATTCAGTATCAATCGAAGAGACATGAGTTATAAAATAGGTATCAATCATCATCAAACTATCATACCAGTGCAGAAACTTGAGGTTTAGATCATTGAAACACAATTCTCTAAGTTTGGTAGAGAACCCGAATTGGTTGTTGCCTACCAATTCGTGTTTCTTTTGCGAATTGGTTCCGTATAAGTTAAAGAAAGAACAAAGAAAATAAGAGTAATTGGTGACGTGACTTCACCTACATGAATGAATTACAAAACAAAAAAAGGAATATTTTTTTTATCTTGGGGTGTTTCTCATATGGCTGTGAAGCAAAAGTTGATTCAAACCTATAAGAAATACCACAAGAAATGACATAAGTTAACTTGTACTATGTACCTATACTAGAGAAGTGCATGATTTCAGATTTATATCGATCATCCCATGTACGTTGCTATGTTTTAGCGTATAAACTCTCAAATTTCATCTTTGCTCTGCGATGTTTGTAGATGTATATAACCCTATCTGCTTCAAAAGTATATGAACTTAGCCCCACATCGAGAGTAATTAGAAAACGATAAGGGTTTATATATATGAGATGGGAGACCAATGGTCACGACCTTACTTGAACAGGATCTGTTCTATAGGCTCGTACCATTGTGTCCTTGAGTTCTAAGGAGACAAGAACCTAAGCCTGGTTGATGAATCATGACCATGTAATCAGAGCGTGATTAATGGCTTTGATGGTCTCTCTTCCGAGAGTGTCATCTGTGGCAACAGAGGATCGTTCTCAGACAGTGTTTGACACCGGCTGGGATGGTTACACGGTTGTCTGACAGGCTCAAAACATTTTGTTTATTTTTCATCCTACAAAACAGTGAAGTGTGGGAGCAAAGTAGAGGAGGGTTTTAGTGTTCAGCAATTGCTACTTGAGGCAGAGGACTTGCCACGTAGCAACAGGAAAACCGAATAGACTCCTTAACAAAGATTTGCATGTTGGGGATGTAGCTCAGATGGTAGAGCGCTCGCTTAGCATGCGAGAGGTACGGGGATCGATACCCCGCATCTCCATTTTTTGAAAAAACCCTATTTTCTTCTTTTTATCAATTCTTTGGAACATTAAGTTAACCTTGGAACAAAGTACAGCCACACTTAAGTTCATAGTTCTGCAATAGATATTTGAGGCAGAGGACTTGCCACGTTGCAAGAGAAAAAGGGGAATTGACTCCTCAGTATTTTGGGCTACCAATGGATCCAAAAAAAAGCATTTTCCATAGTTATGCTAATTTTAAATTGTGTTTTTGCTAACAATATTGTCTTATAAGTATTTCAATACTATTGAATATAAGTAATAATAAGGATTATACCGGTCAGCGGTCATCTTGATCGGTTTTTAATTGAATTGTAGTGGTCAAATTGATCGCTTTTTATTGAAAATTATTTTTTTAATGAAAATATAAAAAAATATTGATTTTTATTGATTTTTCAACATTAATGTTAATATATTATATATGTATATCTAACTTCACTTGTATGCGGTTTAATTAGTGAACCGTCGGTTGAACCGATATATCACTATATGAATACCCCTATCGATTCGATGACTGATAGGGTATTAATAACACTCGTCTAAATGCATGAGGGTTAAGTAGTTTGAATGCTACACAATTCTTGGTTGTATGAGACATGAAATAAGTAGTTTGAATGCTACAAAATTCTTAGTTTCCATGCAGTCCGTGTCATTAGGACTTTCATTATCATTTTTATTGGAAATATAAAATAAAATCCTTATAATATTTAGAAGGAAGAAATTTGTATAATATAGACACTAAAAGAGTGAAAATAGTTTTCTAAGCTGTATGAAGTGTGTGATTGAGAATTGGATTATCTATGGTACGCGAAAACGAAGAAGAGGATGAGGAGGCAACATTAGAAGATGCTGCATCTGGTGCATTCCTACATAAAGGGCATGTAGCATTCATCTATACAGAATGCATGGAAATAATGGTTGCACTCAGGTATGGTTCTTAATATTTCATTGGGCTCATAGGAGTGCAGGTATTCCCACTCCAATACTTCAACCATATTTGAGACTTCTTGAAAGACTTGCATGTTGTATATTGCATGGCTCAAATTCATAGTTTTTAGAAATCTAATGGTTTGAATTGGTGAGTACATCTAAACCATTAGATTTTCTAAGATTTGATGGTTATGATGTGAAGTAAATCTTTTTCACTTATTCTTAGAGTAAGATCCATCCCATCTTTGAATAATACTTTGAGTTTGTAACTTTGAGGATCAAATTCAAAACGCGAAAACTTTAATTATTTAGTGATATTCACTCTAGAAACAATCCCCACAAATGGGTCTATCCCATATCAACTTAATATCACTATTCATATTGGGTCATGTCAGCATATTTGGAAAGGGGACAACAACACTAGAAGAAACCACCTCACACTTATGGAATAATTTGTTCCTCGTAATTGATCATTTTAACTAACAAATCCCCAGAATGTGGGAGTGTCAAAATCGTACGACTACAGTTGTCGCATGAAAGTTGGAAACTAGGTCTGGATAGTTACAACGACCACCTTTGTAATTGACCCCTTTTAAACTAAAGGGAAATTGAATATCAATTTCACCACATGACATGATTTCACATATCTCTCCTCTTATGATGGTGTGAAGATGGATTAGAATGATGAAAAATAAACACAAAAAGGATAAAGAAACCATTCATTAAGTTTGAGATGAGAAATATGAAATGAGGAGGACTTGTTTTCAGTTCTTGAAACCCACTACAAGGACCCTTTAATTTAATTTCTTTCTCAACAACACTAATCAATAGAGATTGTTTGAATAGAATTAGGGGTGACAAAATTATCTACAAAAAACATTGTGACCTGTTTGAATAAAATCGTTTGGAATAAATGGTCCGGTTTTAAAATAATATGTGTTGTGTGATTGATGTTATTCATACAAAAAAACATTGTAACCTCTATATAACAATGGAAACAGGTCAAACCACCTATTAGGGGTCTAATGCATAGTCTATAACATGTCAGATATTTTTGGTAATTAAATCCGACTTAGGTTTCTCCAATAGTCTATTTAACTTAAATAGGTCAGACTCATGCCTTTTAAAAAGTTTATTAAGCCTAATAGATCAGATATGTAATGTTATTATATATTTATAAATTATTTTTTATAAAATGTCCAAAAAAAAATTAAATAATAATTTTTTTATATAAATCCATTAGGACTTAGAGATTAAACTATTTAATAATTGGACATTTAGTTGTTGACACTTGAACTTAAATACATAATTCAACCCATGTAAGTATGTAATTTTTCTTAACTTGTAAATAATGTTTTGAATTTTTTACCATAACAAATCTTTAAACAAATTAACAGGTCGGTCCAAACTTTTAAACAAGTCAGTAAGACATAAGCTTTAATTTTTTTTAAACAGTCTAACATGTTAGGCTCAGACTCCTATATGTTATATAGGTTTGGTCTATTTAAGGCAAAGTATGACATGTTTCCACCCCTACCCAGTTTTTTTCTAAGTGTAATTTTTCATCCACATCAATTGGTGGACAACAAATTATGTGCATATGGACAGTCTACTATATTTTTTTTTTCAATTAGACATGTCTAAACAAAGTAGATGAAAACTAAAAAAATTAATGTATAAAATATCAAATTAGTAACCATGGTTAAGCATGACTCTTTTAGGGAGACACTTTAAAAAACGTTATATAGCTGTGTTCATTCATTAAATTATATTTTAGTAACATGTCATGGTATCCTCACGACCACAAAGTTACTTTTGTAAGAAATTTTATTATAATTTAGTGGAAAATTCCTCCATGTTGAAGATTTTACTTAAAGATTATGAATGTTAAAGATAATAAACACTAACATCATATACTCATAATCATTTATGTCAAATAATCAACAATGAATATAAAATGAAAATGCATCTTAATATTTTCACAAATAATATAATTAAAAAGAGTCCATGCAATTTCATAAAAAGTGATGTCCTTTGGATATTACTCTTTGTAGGAAAGCTAATATCTTTTCAATTCAATATCTTTTATGCATAGTTTTCTTATTTATATTTTTGGGTGGGGATCCACATACTTTAATTAAAGTAAGTTTTTTGAATTTATTTCACATCTAAACCATTAATTCTATGGAAATTCAATAGTTTTGATCTATCCACTAATTCAAACCATTAAATTTCTCTATTGCATAAGTTTTGACCAAATTTTAATGTTCACCATTAGGTAAGGTATGATAAGAGGTATAAGGACAAGGCTTGATTTGATGATTATAGGCTAATTCTTTGAAAGGATATCAAAATAGGTTCCTAGACATTTTAGAAAGTTGTTCTCAACATTCAAATGACAAAAGATTCATATCTTGAGATATAGGTCGACTTGCTTAGCATTCAAGGGGTACTGGGATCATCTTCATTATCAAATTTGTTCTTCTAATTTTCATTAGAGATATTTGAAACTTCTTATTTTCTTTTATTCAATTCTATGGTTAATGATGAGGATGCATATAACTAGAATAGTATAACTCATCACTCAAAAATTACAAAATTTCTTATCATATACAACCACTCACATTCAATCAATATCATTCAACTCTTGCACAATTTATAGGGACATAACATATGTCTGCTCTGAGATAATATTTCTATAAAGTTCTCAAACATAATCAAAACTTCACAAGTGATAAAGGATATATAGAAATGGAACTGCTATGAAAGAATGAGATTACATAATCAAAACTTCACACTTGTACTTGAACACATTATAACCCAGAAAAATTATATACTAATATGGACTCACCTTTCAGCCTGAATATCTCAAAACTTTTGTGCTCATTCCTATAGATAATAATAATGAATGATATTGGTGTATGACTATGACAATAACAATTATGTTTACAATTTACGATTATGTCTGTGACATGACATGTTATTTCGTCATGCAACACAAACACTCGATTTATATTCATTCAGTTAGTACAGAAAATGTGTGTTGCGTCATTTATTTATGGGTATGTTCTCATTCCTCTTTAGATCTGACATAAATTTGAGAGATATTATGAAATAAGGAACAAGGTTGCAAATAAGAAAAAGAGTAATCAAAATGACTAAGCAATTCACTGCAGTGTTCCATCTACATGTACACAAGAGACATCAAGTTATAAAATACAGAAACATGAGGTTAGTCCCACATCGTCAGTAATTATAAAATGAAATGGTTTATATACATGAAAGAGAGTTGAATGGTCACGACCTTACTTGAACAGGATCTGTTCTATAGGCTCGTACCATTGTGTCCTTGAGTTCTAAGGAGACAAGAACCTAAGCCTGGTTGATGAATCATGGCCGTGTAATCAGAGCGTGATTAATGGGCTCTGATGGATCTCTCTTCTGAGAGTGTCATCTGTGGCAATAGAGGATCGTTCTTAGGCAGTGTTCCACACCGTCTGGGATGGTTACACGGTTGTCTGACAGGCTCAACTTTTTGCAAAAAAACCCTAAAAATGGTGGAAATGGCGCAACGTTTCCCTTACCCGCTTGGAACAAAGTACAGAGGCGTTTTACACTTTTACTTAACCTTGAGGTAGAGGACTAGCCACGTTGCAAGGGTAAAAGCGATGTATAATAATTATGCATATCTTCTTTTAATTTTATTATTATTGTATACTCGATATTCAATTCTGCACGATATCAGTTACTTAAAAACAGCAAATTGAAGAGTTTCTTTGGCGTTAGCAAATCCTCTACTATTAAACACGTTATATTTACAATTTTATTATTATTACACCTGGATACATATAAATTACATCAATTAATTACAAATCAATTTGTGTTAACTGGTTCAATCAGTAATGAATAAATTGATTCCAATACTAATATGATCCAATAATTATACTGATTATGAAATTATAATGGTCAAAATCGGCAAAAACTACTCAAAATCAGTCAAGTGAATTATATCAGTCATACTGACTGATTTTTTATTTAAAATAAATTTCTAATAAAAATATTATTTTTTATTGATTTTAATATTAATGGTAATATATTTTATATATCTAACTTCATAGATCTGCACTTTAATTAATGAACCACCAGATTAAATCGTTACACCACTTTCCTAACCAATTTAATAAAATTTGATAAATACCAATAGACAAAAAAAAAAAAAAAAAAAAGTTACATAATTAGTTGATTATGACATGTAGAAAAAGTAGTAACATTTGCAAGAAGCAAAGGTAATGAAAGGTATTACATATTCATTCCTATTCCAAATGCATGTAATGCGCATCTCCAACTCTTTTCCCCTTCCAACTTCTCTGACTTCACTTTATCATTATTCACTATTAATAGTAACTAACACATGCATTCATACCCAATCAACTACACCATTCCCTTCATTATTTTCACACAAATCATCATTTCTTATTACAAAATTTAACAACAACAACAACAACATACAAATACTCAAGACTAGATTGTTTTGCTTCTAGCAACTATTTAATTAAGGAACAACATAAGTTACAGAACATACCGTTTGTACTTCTGAGCATACCATACATTTGTACATTGCAAGTGAAAAAAGGTGTTTTTTTGTTGTTTAAGGAGTGGTAGTTGTATTGAAACAATGGCTGACAACAAGAAAAAGGAGAGGGAGACTGAGTTTTTCATGGATCATAACAATGATGATGACCAAGATATTGAAGCTATCAAGTATGAGAGTGAGAGTGGTAGTGATAATGATGAGGGAAATCGTAGAACACAACCTCAATCTTTCTCTTCTCAGATATGGCCTCAAAGTTACAAGTACAATTCTTCAGCATTTCTAACCTTTTTTTGCATTTCTAAATTCATCTTTTTTTTTTGGGTGTTATGTCTGTTAATGTTACAGTCCATGACATTGATTGGGTGACTAAATTTATATTATGGTTAATTTGAGATTAATTTATATAATTCAAGGTCCAAATTGGTGTCAAATTTTCTTAAAATAAAAAATGTTATTGTTTCGAAAGGATGGGGCCTGTGCACGAGGATCTTGCTTAGTGGGGTCTGAGAAATGTAGATCAGTAGATGTATGCAATATTTACACTACAAACGGAGAGGTTGTTTCCAAGATTTGAACTCGTGATCTTATGATCACTAAGCAACAACCTTATCGTCGCGTCAAACTCACCCGCTTAAAGGAAAATGGATGTTTACTGTAATATTATTCTCATGAAGGGATTCCAATATTTACATTCTTTCATAGAAAAGTTATTTGCATCAGGGTATCTATATGCTGAAGTCTTTACATCAAAATTCTTACAATTAGTACTTAGTCCCTGATTGTGGTTAAATAGAGGCAAAAACTATAAGTTCATACTTGTATTGCATGATTAACTGCTTGAATACTCAGTGAAGGTGCCTTATCAAATTTCCTTGTCTGGGTGAATGATTTTGTGAGAAAACCACTAAGAAGTACTACTATGTATAATTAGTTTTTGTGGCTCTTCCTGTTGTTTCAATAACCTGAAATCATTCACTATCCTTCTCTGATATTGTTTTTTTCTTTCTTATATGACAGAGAGGCTACTGATTCTTATACAATTGCTGCAGCTCCAAATATTGAATCAATTATAAAAGCACCAAGTGTGATTTATTCAAGCTTTGTCAATCCTTCAAAGAGTTATTTAGATCAAGATGGAAAAATGTCTTTTCTATCTGGTCAGAGTAGTCAAATTCATGAAGGGATATCGAGAAGACAATCGACATGGTGGGAGAAAGCTTCAATTCAAATGCAAGTGCCTGAAGAATATCCTCTTACTTATGGATGTAATATCACTCAAACAATATTCAATGGTATGCTATTTTACTTTAGTTAGTCAGTGATTGATGACATGTGCCTGAATGTTTATTGTATTTGTGCTATGAGTTATGAACCATGTAAGTTAAGATGCTGAGAAAAGAAAATTCCTCCAATTAGGTAAAGTATATTGCTTTTTTAAATAACTGCTGTGATAAAACAAGGACTAATTGTTCACTAACTTTTATGTTTGTCACTACTTAATAATGCAAGGGATTGCAAGGTTGATTTATAAGTCGAAAATCTTGTAGAATATGTGATTCATCCCGAACCCCCCCCCCCCCCCAAAAAAAATATGGCAAGAGCTGTCGAACATAAATTGAATTAAAGAATGAGAAATTTGAGATTGATTTGAATGCGCGGAAGGGTGTATTTGTTAGACTAGTTGATCTTGAGTGATTCAAACTTTGGAGTGCATATATCTAACACTTACTCCCTTACTCCAAAAACTTCGGAGTGTATTTGTTAAACCTGCTTTCTCAAAAAACGAATCTATCTAAAACTTCACCACACTATAGCCATACTCTTACAATGTAATAGCCTTACTTCATTGATTTACATTTTCTAACTGGCCATTTTATGAGGTAATGTTGTACCTGGCCAGGGATTAATGTGATGGCTGGAGTTGGCCTTCTATCTGCGCCTTTTACGGTGAAACAAGCTGGGTGGGCGAGTATGGTGGTGATGGTTGTTTTTGCAGCTGTATGTTGTTATACAGCAGACCTTATGAGACACTGCTTCGAAAGCAGAGAAGGGATTGTCAGCTATCCGGACATAGGACAAGCAGCATTCGGAAGATATGGCCGTCTTCTTATATCGGTATGTTTGTTTTTTTGTTTTATTTAAACTTAATTCAAGTTGTTATGCAGTGCTTGTTACTTGGAAAAATTAAGTGTCAAATTTTGCTTTTCTAGGAATTGACTTTGCGCATCTCAAGTTCTATTTGACTCATGCTAGATATTCATTCCAACTTCTAGTTCTGTTCTTTAAAATATTTCTGGGTGGTGTAGGTTCATTCTTATATTTGATCTTCATATTTTATTTCTTAAGGCTGTGATAGATGCATCATTACACTCATTGGTGGTTTTAATTTAATGCTTAATGGTTACTAACATTACTATTATTTATGGATCATGGATGCAGATCATTTTGTACACAGAATTATATGTAAGTGCTGCACTGCATTGCATCCATTTCTTTTGTTTCCTCTAACAACTTTATCAATATTACTCACCATCGAATATGCCATCGCCGTTTACCAATGCAGTCATACTGTGTGGAATTTATCATCTTGGAAGGAGACAATCTCAGTAGCTTGTTTCCTGGAACATCCTTACATTGGGGCAGTTTACAGTTGAACTCAAACCACTTGTTTTCAATTTTGACTGCACTGATTATTCTCCCGACTGTTTGGTTAAAGGATCTTCGTTTAATCTCCTATCTCTCGGGTTCTCTAAACTCTTCAAGATTTGGTTAAAAATGATATTTTTTTCTTTTCAATCTGATTCTAGCATGCATTTACTGGATCTTTTGTATGATCATGCAGCTGGAGGAGTTGTTTCAACAGCTTTGATAGTTATCTGTGTGTTTTGTGTTGGGACAACAGAAGCTGTTGGATTCCATCATACTGGTCCATTTGTTCATTGGAGTGGCGTTCCATTTGCTTTCGGTATATATGGATTTTGCTTTGCAGGGCATTCAGTTTTTCCGAATATTTACCATTCTATGGCTGACAAGAGAGAATTTACCAAGGCAATAATGACATGGTATGGTACATAAGTACATTAACTTCTTTGTCACTAGCTTGAGGTACAAGTTTTCTTCTTTCTGATACTTGACTGATTTCTTGGTGTACAGTTTTATCTTATGCATATTGATATTCGGAGTCGTTGCAACCATGGGATTTCTCATGTTTGGTGAAGCGACGTTGTCTCAGATAACATTGAATCTTCCACCAAATGTATTTGCTTCCAAAATTGCCTTGTGGACAATTGTAAGAGCTTTTTTACATATCACTTTATGCTATTTTTGTTTTTACCTTTTCTTTATAGTGAACTTTTACATTAGATATACATGTTTGATCTAAGGAACCAAAATGCTCTTCAATGCACATTTAACTTGTTTCTAATTTTCTGTTCCTTTCACTTTCAGGTAATTAGTCCATTAACTAGATATCCTTTTTACTACAACATGTTTATGAAAGTTAAATGTCGCTTAACGCGTGATCCTATCGAGGAAACATTTTAGTTTGATTTTTCCTTAATACTAAACAAATATGCTTTGATGATGAACCCACTAGCAAGGAGTGTAGAGGAGTTGCTGCCAGAAAGCATTTCAAGTACTAATTGGTGTTTCCTTCTGCTTAGAACAGTACTTGTTATTTCTACAGTTTGTGCTGCTTTTGTGATTCCATTTTTTGGTAAGTCAGATTTTCTCTTTGCAATACATTACATTTCTATGACCTCACAATTACTCAAATGACACTCAAGGTAATAATGTTACTATAGCCTGTTAAGTGTTAACCATTGTTTAAATCTAAAGCTATGATGTACTTTTTATGACTATGCTGCAAAAGTGCAAAGTTATGATACTTACTTAAAAGTGCAAAGATATAAATAGGGAAATGTGGCTTTTAATA